CAGTTAACACCAACAGTGCTAGAAAACAGTGAAGTTAGCTCTTATTTTTATATTCTAACTAGTGGTTTTCCCTGTCAATGTTGATTGGAATAGTTTTGGTGATTCCTTGATTAGACTGTTGTTTACTGTTAGTTTGTCTATGTTAGTAGTTCCTTGATTGGGATATTGTTTACTTCTCAATTGTTAATCTTGGTGTTACCCTCTATTCATATAGAGAGGAGGTCTTGCTGGTGGGGAGGTCTTTTTGTTTCCTTTTTGGCTTTTTGATTGTCTCTTTTGAGTAGGATTATGTCTATGTGCATGTTGATGACTAATTTGTCAGAGTGCTGGGCTTTCAGAAATTCACCGGCATTTTTTGAATTCCGCTTGATATAGGATGCTTAGTTTTCCAGTTGAAACTATGGTTGACTCTGTCCGTGTATTGTAAAATTAACGACTTTTTATCAGGTATTCTGATTGCTAGTTAGTATTAATGAATGTGCTAGTTTTCTGCCTGTTAGTCCTCCATGATGGCTCTTACAGTCCTTACACTGTATGTTCTAGATGATTTATATTGTTTTCTTCTGAGGCTGCTGGGTCTTTTGGTTTATCTAGGATGGGGGTGTCAAACTTCTGGCACGTGGGCCAGATGTGTCACACACTGGCCACGCCCATGCCCAGTTTAGCAAAGGGGAGAAAGTCACAATGCATCACATGGCAATGCCATAATTACGTGAGTTTGACACCCCTGATCTAGGATATTTTGAAGGGCGTTAATCGGTTTGTGTGCTAAAATGATGCCACGTGGTTTTAATAGTCTATTGGTGGTTTTGGAGATGTTTTTGATGTATGGCAAGAGTTATGATTTCACAGCTTGCATTGATTGTGCCAAATTGAGTTGAGTGGTCAGTACATTTTCATAAAGTTCCATGGGTTTTACTTTTATTGGAAGACATTACATAGATGATTTGTTTCCTTTTTCTAATTTTCAGGTTTGTGGTGTTATTATGAATGTTTTGGAAGCCAGAATAATGACAAGGAAAACTGTGCCTAGGTCTGCAACCTCCTCCCAAAAGCTCTTTCATTATTGCTTAAAGTATGCTGACTTGTCCCAACAAAGGCAGAGGTAAGGGACATTGTACTAACACCTCACAGAAGAGATAATTAATATATCAGAATTAATTAGGATGCCCTAATTAAATCATGAGCCTTGAGCCAAGGCATGTTCCCAAGTGAAGCCAGCTCTGACCCCACATAATTTACGGCCCCAATCATGGCCCTGTTTCCCCCCTCCCACCAGGGTGTGTCATCAATCATATTTGCCAACAGGGCAATTTTGAGGGTTGTAGAGATTCCTCCCCTTCAGCAGCTGTAAGTAACCCTGGGATATAGCCTTGAGAGAGATAAGTCTGGAATGTCTGTTTCCCATTCCCCCTTTTTATGGCAACTCGCGAGAAGGCCAGGGATGCTTTGTGAGTTGACATAATATTTTGGGCAATGGTTCTTTATAACTGGCTGGTCTCGTTTAGACATCAGCTAAACTAAGTCAGTGAAAAACCAATCAGCTAGAGGTGGATTGCTGCCGGTTCGGCCTGAATCAGCAGAACCAGAAGTGGCGGAGGGAGGCTCCACCTACCCACCTGGACACTTCTGTGCATGCGCAAAAGCACCATGTGGGAGCAAGCGTGGGAGCATGCCCAAACTAGTAGTAAAAAAATTGGCAACCAACCTATGATGTAGACAATAAGAGACACTTCTTGTTAAAAATTTTTGCTTCTGTGGAGATTAAGTCACAATCTTAATGCTGCTTTAATATAACATTTAGTTTTACAATTACAATATAGCCTCTAGTAAATGGCATGACAATAGTGAATCAGCAAGCTGCTACAATTCACAAAAGGGACTCTTGTTGGTTATTATCATCATTACTAAGTCCTCCAAATGGTTAACTTGAAAATAAAAACAAATGTGTCTAAAAAAAACCCCTGGCTTTTTCTGCTAATTTGCACTTTCTGTTTAAAATGTGTAAAACCGATATCTCAATTTATATAATCAATATTACCAATTAACTGCAAAAGAAGAAGCTGTGTACTCAGATTATCTCTTTGCTCTGTTCTTTGGGATTTCTGTATCCTATTTCTGGTAGCCCTTATTTATGACTAAAACTAATCTCTATTCCCAAGGCTGACTGGATTTACTGGTTGCACAACAAATAAGCTAACTATTAACTTTGAACCATTTGAACCGTCTTTATCTTCTGATATATCTATATCAGATCAGCTCTGCATCCTGTAAGTCTTTGAAAGTATTATCTTCTGGTTTAATATCCATCCACTAAAGCAGACATCATTACTGATATTGTAGTTGCTGGTTTCTGTCCTCATTCTTCAAATATCTCCTGGAATTTTTCAAATGCCATACCACTTTCTGTCATTTGGTCTCAATGCTGATTAAAGACAAAAGGCAAGCCTCTCTCCCACCCACCTTTTTATTTTTTTAATGCCTGGACTAATAACTTTTCTCAGGTGTCCAATTGCTGAAATCCTAAAGTCTCAAATTTATGTTAAGACTTAAGAGTACATAATTTAATTTCCATGAAAGTTTTGTTTCAGCGCTGATTAATTTTGTCTCAATGTTGATCAGAGACAAAAAGTAATCCTTCCTTCCTTCCTTCCTTCCTTCCTTCCTTCCTTCCTTCCTTTCTTTCTTTCTTTCTTTCTTTTCTTCTTTTTATTTATTTATTTCTTCTTTTCTTTTTATGCCTGGAATTTTTAGTTCCCTTTTAATATCTGAAATCATAAAGTCCTAGATTTCTTCTGTGAACTTAAAATAGACTAAACAATTTAATTCCCATGAAGGTGCTATTTATTTACATAATTATTTCCAGCAAAAGTTCTAATATTTTGCTGGAAATATCTAATAATATTCATGTATAACTTCCTTAGATTAAAATCTTATTCAGCTTTTTGCTGTTTGTTTCAAATTCATTATACTCTTAAACATAGTTATCTTTTTTTCCTTCTTATTCTGGAAGTGAAACTTGCCATGTGGCTTTGCAAACTTGTTGTTTTGAAGATCTTTAATAGTTTCAAGACAGTAAAATAGGTAATTTCTGAACCTGATTAGGAAATGATGTAGATGTACTGAACCCAAGGTCCCTTAAAAGTTTCCACAGTGGTTGAGAGTATGATGTCTTTGTCTCCTGGCACTAAATCAGCTAAATCCTTACAAGGAGAAGCCATCCAGACCGTTAATGGGTGATCTTCCATGCCCTCATTATCCAGAAAGTTTCTGTGAGACTGCTCTACTTGCCAGTCCTTCAGTCGTGGCCTTTACTCCATCTGTGTTTGTTCATAGCAGCTATTCTTCACTTGGAAGTCTGCTCTAAAGCTTATTTATTTTCTATGAATCTTGGTTGGAGTTCAAAGAAGGTCTTTAAGAAAAGAAATTTGATTTGACTGTGCCCAAAGCCCCCATAGCTCTTAGAGAATTGGAATTTAATTTCTGCAACCAAACAACCAACCTCAGAAAATACCAAGAACTCCACGGTGCAACCCTGAGCTATAGATTTATTCCCTTCTATTGTAACATGTATTTTCCAAATTAATAAAGAGCAATATTTTTATCCTATGGTTTCCAAATCTCTTTAAACATACTGATTCAGCTTTCCACAACTAGAAAAAAATGTGTACATTAGGGAAATGTGTATATAGAATGCATATAAAAGGGAGGATTGTTTAGAAACTGTCTTTAAAATTTATCCCATCCTAGGAGGAAAATAGGGACGGGGTGGCTCAGTGGCTAAGATGCTGAGCTTGTCTATCAGAAGGTTGGCAGTTCAGTTATTCGAATCACTAGCACCACATAACAG